TGTCTAACGCTGTGCTTCAACTTGTCACAGGTTGGATTTTTTTCTTTTTGAGAGGTGCATCGGGACTTTTTCTGCCGAGAGACAGCGTTCATGCATTTATTCACTGCTAAGTAGGTGGTTTTGAGGCTGTTCCGTAGTGATTTTTGCTCGGCTCTACTCCGAAATGCTACAAAAAGACTGAATGCTTCGAAGCAAACACCTGCCTGATTCTTCCCTGGCACAGAATTTTGGCAGTCGCTTTTTCTGGGGTTGCCTCCACCGGTGTGTGTGGGTTGGGTTGATTTAAAAATAAAATAAAACATTCAGCTCCTACTTTTTATTTTAATGTTACTAGGAATTGTGTTTCCTTTCATCTTAAAAAAAAATAAAATTAAATCAATGTAGCAGTAGCTGGGGCATCGTTGCCCACTGCATGCGCTTGCACTCCCTATGTTATAGGGAGGAGTTGGGAACTCTTAGCTTTCTGCTGGCATAATCCCAGATGCCATGAATTATTCTTGATCTGTTTTTGGGGGGAGCTGGAAATTTTAGGTATCTCTCTACTTGCTGATTCACCTCCTTGCGCTTTGGATTGATTTAATATAAAATGAGTTGCAGGGTGCTCTACAATTCTTGACTTTGACCCCACTTGATGGGGTAAATGGGATCATTTAAAACTGAATTTTGAAATTACACCTAAAAAGAAAAGTTAAAACAATGCAAAACCTGTTATTCCTTCAGTTCTTTTCCTTTTTTTTTTTCCATTCTTTTTCTTACTGTATTGGAGCTTTGCAGATCTACTCCATTGATCTGCATCTTCAACGTGCATTTTACTTTGTCAACTCAGTGAGCTTGGCAAGGAGAAAATGATGCTGTCTTTGCCATTCTGCTTCCGTTAGCATTACAGAATAAAAAGAAGAGTTTGAAGAGCTACACCGTGAAGGGTGTGCGTGTGTAATTCCCCTCAGACCCCTCTCCTTTCTTCGTCTTTCGGATGAATGGTGCTGAAAGTGTCAATTCCGTGCCGCACATTTTGCTGACGCGGGAGATCTTGTCTCCAGAGCTGGCTGTGTCGGCTCCTTTGCTGCTCCTTCCTTTTGTTAGCGTTCACTGGAGACTCTCAGGTCAAGGTCAGTGAAAACAGGTGCATTGCTACGGCTGAATATTTCGGGAGGTTTCAGATGTGCTGCTGATTTGCACGCTTTCAAGTCCTTTGCGTTTGATGTATAAGTTGTAGGTTTTTTTTTTTTTTCAGTATAATTCCCCAACAATTAACCTGAATGTCCACAGCCCAAAAGCTGCATTAACACAAACTGCTCACGCTGGGTGAGTTGTACCAATTCTTCATCTGGATTTTGACCATCGTGTGCCCCGACTTCTCACGGCGACTCGTTCCAGATGTGGTTCAGGTCACTGCTTGGCTCACTGTTGAGTTTCTCAGCCTTCAAGTGGAAATAGATTCACCGTACACAAATTCAGTCCTCCTTTTATTTTTAATCCTTATTTATGCATGTAGACCCGTACATAAAGTGTCTTTTTACATTTTGTCTAGCTGCATAGCTTTCTAAACGTAGCTAAATGAGCTTTTTAATATATAGGGTAATTCACCGTCACCGTGCTTTGTTTTTTAACGCAGTCTGCGACTTTCATCCTCAGATTTGTGACTGGCTAAGCATTAATGTACATTGCAGTGTTAATGCACAGATATCTATGAAAATGGGAGCTTTGGGTGATGCCACCCCAGGGGACAGCCATCCCACCAGTGACCCTGACAGCCCCGCAGGACATCGCCTTTGTGTGTCGTTCCGCCTAAACTCCGTGGTGTTCAGCTTCTTTATGGTGAAAACTTTCAAATGCACCTGGGCTTTTCATTGCATTTCTTGTTTTAATTTGATTGATGGTGAGTGCTTTAAATACCTGAGAGTGAGAAACATACCAGAGAGATGTCGGTGGGTCAAGTCCTGCTGTGTAGCAGAACCATTTCCATCCTCCTCCTCTTCAGATACTCATACCACCAGTATTTAGTCTGGAAGAGAAGTCCTTTCCAGCCCCACCTGTGGCTCTCGTTGCCACAATAATCATTTTGGAGAGATCACTGCTTGCGTTTTGGACACTTGCTGCCACTTGACCACTTCTCCTCCTGGTCTTGGTAGTCTCTCCAGGCTCAGGTTCGTCCTTCTCAGCCATATCAGGAAGCTGAGTGAGTATCTGTAGGCAGCAGCATGCGAGGAAATGATGTGGGAGGCTGGCATTGCCTCTCAGTTTTAGATCTCCTGTGTTGAAACCATTGGGAAAACTTCCCCAGTGAGACTTGGATGAGACTTCCCTCCCCGGGTGCGCAGTGGTGTTCCCCAGCTGCAGGCTCTTTTAAAGACAGGCACCTGGTTGCCCTCTGGATGTGGAATAACACGATGGTTTTTACACGGTGGCAGCTTGTCCTGCTGGTGAGTGTGATTTTTATTGCTTTTTTTTCATTTTTGGAGACTTAAGGGGCTAAGTCAGGATTTCCTTGCAATACGAGGATCGTGGCAAGTATTGTAGTGAAAATGTTAGGTGGCCAGAGCTTGAGAACATACACCAAATATTGTTGAACTTCATTTATTCTTTCTTGTTGTCTTTTTAAACAGGCAAGGAGTTGAAGTGCATCTGAGCTGGTTTTGGTGGGAGCAAGAAAATAAGCATAGTGCATGAGAATGGTCACAGGACAGAGCCAGTGCTTAGGAATTACTGTGCAGAAACAAAACCTGAACATCCCTGCGTGCACAATTAGTCTAACGTCTCTTAGATTTAATTAACCATTAGGTTGTGGGTGTATTAATAGCGATTAATACATCCTAGTTTAAAGAAACCCGAAATATCACTGCTTTCCTGCAGACCCACTAACAGATTTCTTAAAACCATTCCAGTAGCAGAGCATTTTATTAACGTCGGGAGCCAAACGTTTCCTGATGTGAATGAACTTGTCCGTCCTGACTGACAGTGAGGAGTAAGAACATCCCATCCTAGATGCTCACAGGAAAATTTTCCAGTTTCCCTAGCTAAGAAAATACGATGCATTTATTAGGGAATCTTTCTTTTTTTTTTTTCTGCTAGAAATAATTTCTCCTGGGAAATCTGCCTACCTCCGGTCTCATATCTCTGCGTGTTTTGTGATGTATTTATGGTGTCATAAAAGGATTCCTGTATAAACTGTCCCGAGGTTAAAACCAGCTTTGTGTTTGACTAATCGAGGGAAATGCAGTCACAAAGCAGCACGGAGCAGCTTCAAGGAATGCAGATGGCTGATGCTGCCAGCCTTGCAGCGCTTCCCATTTTTGTTATTCCCCCAAACACAGATCAAACACCAGCTTAGGTGTTGTACAAACTGAATGACGTGACGTCTTGCCACCTCTTTTATTTATTTATTTTAATTTTGAGCAGGGTTTTACGGGGCAAAACCTAAAACTGCTCTAAAACGTTGCTCGTTTACGGAGCTGCTACTGCACGGGGCTTTTTCTTCGTGCCGGAGCTTGCAGGCGTGCCAAGTCCGAGGCCAAAATTTCTGTCGGTTTTGTGGGTAAATTTGATTTGCATGGTATTTTGTAATTCTATACCGGGGCCGGTTGAAGGCTTTTGTTTTTTCTTCTCCAGTGTAAACCTCTTAATATGGCAGGTTTGTAGGGGATATCTTACGCTTCCAGCCTGTCACAATTATTGTTATGCAATTAGTTTAAGTGGAATTTGTTTTGTATGGAAAAAAAAAACAAACCAGCCTCGTGGTGAAATACACGGCTCCAAATCCACGCTTTGTGTAAACCGACTATCCCCCAGCATTTAGCTCTGATTATATGTTTCCAAATAAGATTAGCTGAGAATTAGAAAATAACGGCCTTTGCCTTGCAGTCTTCCCAGATTTAGGGTTTGAAGTCGGCTGCTTGTTTCGTTACCTTTGCAGTGTGGATAACATATTTTGGGTATTCCTCGTAGCTACCTCTGAAGCCATTTGTGCTTGTAAAAGTCAAATCCTTTTGAAAAGGGAATTGTGTTTTCAGGCGTGCTTGCTGAACTGGCTGGGATATTGGACTTGGGAACTGGAAGACCTGAAATAAATGGGTTTGTAGCACAATAAATACCTTAAATATTTACAAAGAGGGTTCTCTACGAGCATCTGAACCTTCACCTGGCACTGCTGGGCAACTGTACAGCATGGAGACATTGTCAGTGCCGAAATAGGGCCAGCTCTTTGGGGATCTCATGGATCTTGGAAGAGTTTTGAGCTCTCCCCTTGTCTTTGGGGTCTTGCTTTGCGTTGTGCTGGCCGAGCCTGTCATGCCCTGGATGCTCTTTGGGGGCAAAGGCAAGTAGGCAGGAGCAGAAAGCCTGCTCAGAACTCGTTTCTTTTCTGTTTATTGGTGTTAACCTCGTTATGGGATGTTCCTGAGGATTGTTTTCGTAGCCACCATAATTATTGTGTAACTAATTTAAACAAAATCAGGTTTTCTTGTGCTGTTGGCTGCACGTGGAATGACACCAAGCCACTGATGACACAAAAATGACTTGAGCTAAGCAGCTCTGACGCGATATAGAGGTGACGATGGGCAAACCAGGACAGTGGCTGGGGCACCACGAGGGCTTCACGAGCCTCTTGTCCCCAGCTGCAGGCACAAAACACTACGTTGAAGAAATATGGCTTTGTTTTTAAAGCCTAGACGCACGAAGCCAAATCCTCTCCCACCAAATTCTTCCCTGGGCTGTACCAGGGGAAAGCTGATGAGCCTTTAATGAAGTAAATGGTATTTACACGGTAGCCCTGGGAACTGAATTTGTCCAAGAAAACTTGGAAATGTGAACACTGCGTGCGGACTTCACATATGCACGAGTTGCTAGGCTGCTGGTACACAGTTGTCAAACAATTTTGCTTTTTAGTTGCTCATCTGACTGTAAAGACTTCCTAGCAGCAAACTCCTTTTGAGTAAATTATTGAATTTGTGGTGTATTGCTGTATGTATTAATGCCATTTTTTTCCCAACTTTGTTTTTCAGAGCGTTCAGTCAGAAAAGAGCTGCCATTGAGAAAGAATATGCACAGGTAAGGCCCTGGATTAAATTTCACGTCTATGGCATTGTTCTCTGGAGGCGATTTATTCATTAGCAGACTTTTCACAGAGTATATTTTTGTTGTGCATCCTTTCCTTACGCTGCTTAGCACGAAGAACCTGTTGAAATTCTGAAACAGGCGGTTTGTTTGTTCAGGAGTTAAGCCCATCCTGTGTTTTCGTGGACACTTGGGCTTGAGGAAGCTCTTGGGTAAAAGAAGAGGTTTTTAACATCTTAAAAATTGTTCCGTGAAAGTCAATCGATGCTTTCAGGCTTTCTCAGAAGTTGGTGCAAAGTTTGAGTAAGCAGTAAAATCAGGTCAGCTGGAGAAGAAATGCGTTCTGGCGAATCTGGTCCAAAGTAAATTTACATTTACATTCTTCAGAAAGGGCAGCTTCCCATTCAGCTGGAATAAGAGCCACCAGATTTGACCTAACGCTTGGGATAGGGAGTGGAGTGAATTTTGCTTTATTTGTCAGAATGGAGGGAGGATTGGATTTTTTTTTCTCCCTTGCTCCAAAATTAGAAAGCATCCAAGAAGGGGCAGCTGCCTGCTTAACTTACAGTAAGGGCTCCTAGAGCTCACGTTCAAGTACAACAGATTAAAAATACGTTATTTTAAAATAGGTTAAAAGTAGAAGAAAATACAAGCGAGGGAATTTGTGGAGCTTAACGTACAATAAATACAGCTGGAGATGTGCCTGGTGTTGTGGATTCTGGGGCAGTGTCAGAGGTGGAGTCTGAGAGCACGGGTTGGTGCTAGGATGCTTCCAGCCCTGATCTATGGGTTAAATTAACGTGGTATCAGGAAAAAAAATAATTAAGTTGTTGCATATAAAAATATAATTATAAATAAATTATAAATATAAAAAATAATTAAGTTGTAAGTGAGCCAAGTGGGATGGGTGCTGAGCTTCATCTGAGCGCTCATGGTGGCGGTACAAGGCTCTGCAGTCATTGGTGCTCCAGTTCTTGGTGTGAATTTGCATTGCTCACGTTGGCAGTTGCACTTCATTTGATTAAATGCAGCAGAATCGATAGCTGCTTAATGAAGCTTTGATTAAAAAGCGGGTATCCTGTAGTGATTTCTTTTGTTATGACGTGGAGGAGTTGAGGTCAATCACAAATGGTCTACGCTGGAAGTGGTTTTGATACGCGGAGGCTTTTTTGGTGTTTGCTGAAGGGAGGTCTCGGGAAGTTAGAAAATAATTAAGTTCTCAGATTTGGAAGGCTCAGCCTCAACAAGCGAGGCTTTCAAATGCTTGCATTTAAAAACAAACCAACCAACAAACTCCCAGCGTTTCCAGCAGTCCAGCTGCAGCACCGGGGGCTCTTCGGGTGGCTGCTCCCAGGAATGAAGCCCTGTGGGATCGCCTCCTTGTCCCCGATAAGTTCAAGAACAGCACTGGGCGTTTCCTGGGCATGCAGAAGGATTCCTGGTTTTGAGACGGCAACGAAATTTCACATAGAGCCTTCTGGTGAGGGAAACTGCACTCAAAATAAACTCAGAGTCATCGTCACCGACTGCAGGAGGTTCCATTTCAGCCGGGTTTAAAGGGAGCTGGAAATTTCTCTGTAGCCAGTTCCTGCAGCAAGATTTCGAAACTTTTTCTTTTTTTTTTTTTTTTTTGAAGATCGTCTCGCAGGGAGCTGCTCGGGATATTTAACTGAGGACGTTTTTGGCAAGCTTCAAAAAATAAATAAAGTGGAAGGGCGGACAGTAAAAATAAGTTTCCCATAACTTTCCAAAACCGAAGGCTTTGTTGGTTTAAGAAAACCCATTTATTCCGATGCGCTGGGCTGGGGTGCCAAGTTTTTATACAGTGTGCTTTTGTGTGGACGGGGAGAACCTGCACGAACATTAGTAAAACACCCCGGCTCAGTGTTTAGACTTTATCCCTAATTACATGGGAAGTGGCTCGGGTGGATGTGATGAATTACGGGATTTGTATGTAAATCGCTCCGTGCCTTATCCTACCAGGAGTTTTTAGCCTTTTTCGTCATATCGTTACCTGTTACCCTCCAACCTTTTTTTTTTTTTTTGAGCTTTTTTCTGTTTATTAACTGACTTTTCCAGACTCTGCATGGTACGGATGGGAGGAATGGGATGAGCTGACCCCACTGTTGCAGTCCTGTGGCCCTTTCTAGACGCGTTACAAACAAGTGCTCAGCTCTTTGCTCGGGTTTTCAGCGTTATTTAATATGTGCTTAAAGGCTTATCGTAATATTCTGACTTCAGAGTATGTAAAGCCTCTCATTTTCCATTAATAGTATTCCTAGTAATAGCATTTAAATTGCAATAGTGTATTATTATTAGCTATTCTCTATGATTATTAGCTATTATTATTAGCTATTCTCCGTGATTAATAAGCCAGCCTGAAATCAGTGGCTAAATATTCTAAATATTCCATAAAAGCAGAACTTGGTCAATGTGCTTTTGCAGCTATCTAGTAAAAAACAAAACAAAAAGTAAACCCAGAAACAACAAACAAACAAAAAAAATCCCACCTGTTTTACCTAGAACTATTAAATAGGTAAAATGGAGATTTTTGGGGGGAGCCCATAATCACATCTCTACCTTTTATTATTATTTAACACTTCTTATTAGATGTCAGTCTTTCTAAGACTTTATTTTCTTTCTGTGCCTTCCTTGTCACGGTTTGGTTGTGCTTGATATTTAGCTCTCCTTGCTCTCCGGAGCACAATGTGACTCGAGGCAACCGACCTGGGCTGTATCTCTTGGATCTCTTGGAGCTTGCAAATACCCGGAAAGTGCTCGAGCTGTGAAATGTGCTGCTTGTTCCAGCACGTGCCAACTCAGCTGCTAACTGCTACCTAAACTGGAGACATCTGTGCTGTAGAAAGAGGAAAGACCACGCTGGCAGCTGCGGAGCTGAGTTGCAAGTAGAAGTTTCTGCTCAGATTTAAGAAAACGAAAACAAAAACACTATTTTTTTCCTCTCTGTTTTTATGGAGATCAAATTAACGTTGAAGAGACGTGCTCAGTAAGAGGAGGTGCCTTATCTGTGATCTGGAGGGAGCGGACAGGTCACTCGGTGTTGATTCCTTCTCGTTGCTTAGCCTGGCGCAGAGAGAAACTTGATACGTGAAAAATGTTTTAAAAATGGGGGAAAGAAGGGTGGTATAGTTCACATCCACACATTTTTCTTGGTCGTTATGAGTGAGGCATAAGCTCGTCCTTTGGTGCTGTGTACATCAGTGGCAATAACCGGGAGAGGAGACTTAAAATAATGTGAAATAAATGCCCAAGGAAAAAGCAGCCTGCCAGAGTAAGAGGGTGGAGGGGAGGAACCGTGAAGGTAAGAGGAAGGGTGGATGTAAGCAGATACTATGATTACCTTTGGCAGCTTCTCCTCGCTTTGCAAGTGTCCCACACGACTAGAGAAGCACTTTTTTTCAAGGCATCAAGAAAATGAATACCTATTTCCTAGGAAGTAATAAGACTGTGCAGCATTCCAGCAGCAACTTCTGTGTATGTGTGTATAAAATGCATCCACAAAGCACAAAAATAATACATTATATACATATTATTTAGGTATCCAATATATATATGGGCTGCAATGCCTAAATAGGTGCTGGCTCTTCTTGCTACATCGCTTTTCTGTTGGTTGAATTCAGAAGATGGAAGCTGACCCTTATTTTAGTGTCTTCTGACAAGGATGCTGCACTGCTCTAATCAAGAGGCAGTGACCCTTTTTTAATAATTTTTCAATGGATTAATGTTCTAAGAGTTAAAGAGACTTTACCATCCAGCCCCTTTCTTACTAATTTGCGCTGTGATTCATTTTTTTTCTTTGTTTTTTTACCAGGTAGTCCAAACCTTTGCAAAAATTAACTGGTATCTCATTGTATACTAGAAATGTGGCAATATTTCCATATAAAGGAATTAGAGAAACTGAATTAGTTGGGCGACTTTTATCTTATGTCTCGTAGAATATATACCTTATGTCTCTTAGAAATAGGAAGTAGATCCTTGGTCTTCTGAATTGCTTTTTAAACAGAAGCCTTTGACAATTAATGCAACGTTTGCTTCAGGTGTAGAATTCCAATCCTTGTTCTTCCCTTGCTTTGTAAAAGGTTTTGAGGTTTACAGAGGAGCTGTATGAGCATTTTATTATTTTATTTTATTGCTACAGTGCCTGTGCTGGCGTATCAGAAAGAGGTAAGCCGTGCTTTGGTGGAGATTACACTTTTCTTTCTTGAAAGGGAAGCTGTCTCCTGTTCTGCTATTATTCTGTTACATCAGGTGGAGCAAACTGATTTTCGAGGAAGCTGAGGAGCTGGGCAGATGCGGTAGGAATGGTAAGAAGGGGAGGATGGCAGGCACCGCACAGGGACAGCAGCGTCTGGGAGGCTTGGGGAGAGTTGGTAAACGCAGCCAGGTCAGTGCCAAACACAAGTTTCCCAGGATGAAGTCCCAGGTGGCAGCTTGGTGAGCACAATCTTAGGATGGGTTTTGAACAGAAAGAACCTGGAGGTGAAAGCAGCTCCCCTCCAACTCCCACTGGGCTGGGGTCAAATAAACGTGAGGTACCCACCTTGGAGACCCTACAAGCAGCTTGCTGCTAGTCCGTTTGATTTCTTTTTCTTCCCAAAGGATACAGGAGCTTACCGTGGCCTCAGAGCAGGAAGGGATTGTGGATTTTAAGGGTGGGTCCCTGGCTCGGGGACAGATGAGCAGCAGCCTTGGATCAGCAGCTTGCTTTGTTAAGTGATGGGCTTGAGGATATCCTAGCAGGATGGTACGAGGTCTGCTGCCGCGGGAAATCTCTCTCTAAAGGATGTCTGCAGTAATTAAGACACTCGTCTTATTTATGCTTTAGGTCTGAAATTGATGACTGGAGTAATTAAGCAGGGCTCTAAGATAAACACCTGTGAGGTCAGCCTTTGAAGGGTGGTTGTGGGGGGAAGATGTATGGGCACACTTCGTCTTGCAGGGAGCTAAGAGCTCTGACTTCTCTCCTCCAGATC